GTGTATGTGCATTTGTTTGTATATAGCACCTTAACTTCATTAAATTTCGTGAATTTGCACAATAGTACTATAAACATACATAAATATACATAAATGTATATTTTAATATAATTTTATATGCATATTTTTATTTACATACATATGTACATACACATGCACACGCATTTAAATAAATTATTTTAATATCAAATTACGCTGCGCCAGCAAGAGCAGCTGCTTTACAACTACAATACATACATATACATATATTTGTACATACACACATTCATATAAACGCAGCAAATTGTATGAAAGCAGCTAAAATGAAGCAACCGACAGTATTACATATACTACAACAACAATAGCAAACACACAGCAACAACAATGTTTCATACTCTTACACACATGCATCCAACCATGCATATAAATTTGTATGTATGCATGCAACTATGTGGGCCCTTCATCCACTGCCCCCAAACGGTGAATGAACTTTTCTCTTATTGTTTTTGTTTTTTGTCCGCTTTCCGCTGTCATACGTAATACTCAAAACGCGCACATAAAAGTGCACTCTCTTCATTAGTCTCAGCACACGCACTAACTCACTACTCTTCCCTTGATTTTTTTTGCGCGCTCACACTACCGCTCTTAAGCACTCCTCAGCCAGCGAAAGAGCGCGCAAAAAAAGTCCAATTGCCAGAACGAGCAACAAATCTGCTGACGACGTCACGAGCTTGTGCTACTGCGATCACAATTGCTGTCGTTTGCTGTTGCTCACGTTGCACGGACACACTGCTGCCCGCTCTTAACAACACTCGAACAGAGAGTTTGTGTATTGCCTTTGCCGCCGCCAAACGTACGAGTGTGTTGGTCGTTGTTGTCGCTTTCTGCTTGCACGCTGTCGTCAAAAACCGTTGCCGTTGCTGTCGTCTCTTCGTTATATTATATTATTATTATTACTGTTGTTATTTGCGACGACGACGTTACCGCCGACACCACTAAGTGCGCGCAGTGCACAGATTTTGTACGTGAACGCGGAAATATTTCTTTCTTCAGTGCTGGTTGTGGCGTGAACGCTAAAAATCATTAAATATTATTAAATATAATTGTAAAGAAAAGTGCAAGGAAATTGAAAATAGTTGATAAATTCACAAAAGTGTTGTAATTTTCGTAGCGTATTGTTGCAATGATTTTGGCGAAGGTGTTGAAGTGCGCCGGCAATAGTGGGTTAGCTCAGTGCATAAGGTGTGCGCATCGTTATTGCCGAAGTGGATTAACGGCATAAAGTCAACATCGCTAGTGTATGCCTGTGTGTGTGTAAATATGTTTGCTTAGTGCATTAACAAGCTAGTAACGCTTTGGACAAAACGGTACCAGCGGCAGTCAGCTGACACATTTCGTGGTCACTTTGTGGCGTCATTTGGGCTGCAAATGCATGCGTGTAAGTTGTGGAATTTTCCAATGCAAATTTGTATGCTTTAAAATATTGAATAATTAAACAAAGAGTGAGCTTACAATTGTAAATGCAATGTAAAAGTGGGTGCATGTGAATATTTGCGAAAAAAATAAAAGATATGTATTTTATAAAGTGAAAAATATCAAACGAAAAATTGTAAGAAGGAAATTTTGCCGAAATGTGAAGAATTGTAGAACGAAAATGTGTGAAACAGAAATTTCGATACTTGTGAGTTTATAATAGTGGTTGGAAAGTTTTAAAATTTGTAAAAAATAAGCTAATAAAGCACAAACAAATTTATTAGAAAAGTTCAAGTGCAGTAACGGGCAACAGAGCAACAAACAGTGTGTGCAGCTAAGGTGTAACGGAAAAATGTGTACATGTTATAACACGTTGCAATTTGCATTTTAACAAAGAAATTGTTGTTTCAAAATAATATAAATAACTAAAATAAAATTTACATACAAATAATGATAAAATCGGTAAAAACTCAATTTGCTTAAAAAAGATTGGAGAACCTGACGCGTGTGTTGTAGTTGTTGTATGAAAATAAAAAAATGCATATAAATTAAAGAAAATCTCGTCTAATTTTACAAATGTCTATCTATATGAAAACCAAGCAAAAAGTTGAAAAATAATGCAAAACTTTAATTTTGGAAATAACTGAGTCATGATAAAAGTTTTTTAATTAACTACTGCAGCGCGGCTAGTTTTCAGTTGTAATATTCAATTAAATGTTGCACAATTAAACTTACATAACGGTATCAATGCGCTATTTGAAGCAAAGAAAAAAGTTTACGGCATAAAAAGGTGACTTGTTCAAAATACGGGAATTTATCAATATTAAAAATTAAAATACAGGCAAAATATAGCTGAAAATGTTTGAAGTTGTGGAGTTACGCACATGAGACCAAGCGAAATTTGAAGAAATAATATAAACTGCAGTTGGAGGTGAAGAATAGCTGTGAATTGTAAATTTATGCCACTGAGAAAGCCATGCATGAATACTATGAACATTTAAAAATGTAAATTGCACATGAAAACAGGCTTGAAAAAATAAAAAGTTGAACCCTAAACGATTATTGAAACCACAAATGCATATTTTGTAAGTTTAGCAAAGTTTGCGGAAACAAAATAGCAAAGAAAATTGTTAAATCAGTGAAATAAGAGCTCACACATCAGAAAAGCAGTGAAATAATTTTAAGAAACTTCAAAAGCGACAAAAACTAGGAAACTTGTCATCGAAAGCAACTTATGTACGTAAGTACAAAAATAAGAAAAGTAAGAAAGTGTACTTAAAATTTATAGATAACTGTAATAAAGTGTATTTCAAAATAGTTACACTATATAACTCCAAACATTACAACAAAAAATAACAAAAATAAATAAAAAATAATTAAAACAAGTAGTTTGAATCCATATTACTTTGTGTTATATATAATTTTTGCTAAAAAAAGCAAAACAATCTTAAAATTTTGGTACACGAAAATAAGTGAAAGTGATTTTATAATGAAAATTAATTAAATAAATACGGCATAAAAAATTGCAACTAAATGCGCCGAAGAAAGAAAATATTTTTCAAACCGTTTGTGAAAATTTTTCAAAATCTCCGTCAAAATGGAGAAGACTGAGACTAACAAAACTAAAGTGCACTGTGCAGCAAAAGTGAGGAAAACTTCTAACGGAAATACTGTGGAAATGGAAAAAATATATGAAAAATAAAGAAAATATATATAAAAATATATGCACATTTTCAAAAAATAAAATAAAAATTTACCCGCAATTTGTGCGTAAAGAAAGAAAATACCATACATTGTTTTAAAAAGTAAAAAGTGCAATTGTCGCTCTCCAAAGTACGGAAAATTTTCAGAAAATTTTGTTTGCAATAAAATTATAAAGTTTATTCAACCAAATAAACCACTGTATACACCAGCAAATGTAAATACAATTGGATTGTGGGGATTATCAGTGTAATTAACAAGCGTAAATAAGTGTTTATACAACTTTATCAGCTGGTGAGACATTTTTTCCGTGATTGGATTACTCTCCGAGAAGTAAGTACTAAGATTATGAAATATGAGCAATAAACTGTCGTTATTACTTTTTTGGGAGGGGACACGAGTTGGATCTCCGTTGTCATTTGGACCTCGCATGCGCTTAACAGGCGTTGGTCGATCTACTAAGCCTTTAACAAAGTTCGTCTTGCCGCCATGGTAGTGTGCTCCTTAAAATACTGAAATATTACTCTTTTTGGCTCTTTTTCCGAAAGTATGTCGCAGAAAAAAATAGGAAAATTAAAAAAACAAAAACAAAAAAGCTTCCATAGCGCAATACAGAATGGCGTTAAAAATTTTCTCTCTAAATTGGAACTACATATCTCCGAAATTCTTCCTTTGAGAGTGGAAACTGTTTTGAAAAACACCATTCTGAAAAAACCTCATTTAAAGATTGGAGTTGGCGCGTTTCCCGCTCTGTTCTACAAGAAACGCTGTAGCGACTCTAATAATTTTAATTTCGATTTCAAAATTGAGAGAATGTTTATTACGGTGTATACTATCCGTTAACAAAAAAAAATCGATTTTTCGAAAATTTCACAATGAGACGTTTCTTTAAGCCTAGATCCAGCTTCGAATGACTGATGGTGTAATAATATTCTCAACGTGGATGATACTTAAGTTTATAATTTTTATATATAATATTTATTATCAATTTATATAATTAATAATATATTTTTTTCTCTTTTTAGGTGACAAAATAAAAATTAAAGAAAACATAATAAAAGATCCCAATATCGCGTCAATTGAAAGTGATTTATTAGTGTGTAAATTGTAAATACAAGTATATATTACACATGTATGCAAGAACATACATAAACATACATATATACAAAAAATATAAATAAGAAAATTAAATAAAAAATAATTTAAGAAAAAATTGTAAATTGCAACGCCACGATACCCAATTGTGTTCAAATCTCGCGCTAAAAGAAAAAGTATTTATAATTAAAAGTGTTTCTAAAATATATATGTATTTACATAAGCAATTAATATTAAAGCATATAAAAAATAATAAAAAAATAGTGTTAAAAAGTGTATAAATTAAAGTTAAAACAAAAATTATAATTTACAACGACAAAAAAATAAAAATGAATTAATGAAGAGAGTGTCAATACAAATATACCGAGAAAACCCGAAAGCTGCATCTTGAAAACGATAAAAACCGAAGTTAAACGTTAAAGTAAATTTGCATAAAATCAACAAAAAATCAATTAAATGCAAAAAAATTGTCACTAATTAGTAAAAAAAATAACACATGAAGTGTATAAATGCAATAACAAGTGTGTACAAATTATAAAATGAGCTCATAAAGAGCGTGAGCGTTTCGTGCAAAGCCGCAAGTGTTCTCAGTTTAAGAGCGAATTAAGCACAGTTCTTTGCTTATCAAATATTTTTACGATTTAACGAAAATTTTAAGATATTAACAGCAAAGAATTTCGTTTTATTCGTCATAATTTTTGCAACAACAACAACAAGTGATAAAAGTGTTTCAACCCCAAAGTAAATATATATTCATATAAGATATAAAAATATGGCATTTAAGTGCAAGTGTGTGTGTGTTGCAGTGTTGTTTCTTTGTTCAATCATCAATTTCGATGAGTTGCTCGCGTAAAAATCTTAATTAAACACAAAGCAAATTTAATTCAACGAAAAATGATGAATTCTACTGAACATGCTGTTTGCGGATGAACAAACGAGGTAAGTGGCATATATTTGACATATGTACATACATACATATATAGATATGTACATATAACTATGGTCTCAATTATATTTACATAAGTATATGATGATTATATACATAGTACATATAAGTATTTTAAGAATATCAGAAGTTTTACTTGAAAAATATCAGTAAATAATTTTATATTTTTCTCCTTAATCAAAAACTAAATTTTATTGGCATGATTATATATTTTATAGATGAGTCTGAACAACTGTATCTGCTGTAGCTTCGGCAGAGCTCTTTGAATTCTCATTTCTCCTATTCTTCTTTAACAAATAATAAAAAAGCACTAAGCCCCTATACAAGGTGCGTTCCAAAGTAAACAGGACTTAAAAAAATGGCCTCAACGTCTGCATAACGCTTTTCTTTCATGGGCAAATGCATGTTCCCGAAAAGAAAGAAGTTGCACGGTGCCCTATCAGGTGAATACGGGGAGTGCTTAATGGTTAAAATGTGATTTTTCTTCAAATAATCGTGCTTAGAATGTTGGATTCTGAACAATTTTTGGTCGTCAGTCAACTTGTACGAAACAAATCGTGCACACACCTTTCGTAAGCCCAAATGTTCAATCAAAATGTGCTAAATCGATGTTTTAGAGATGTTCAATTCCATTTCCATGAATTTCAATGATGATTTCGGTTGATTTTTGATGAATTCACGCAAAGTTTCGATGGAATTCCCGGTGATCACGGATGTTGATTGGCCCACATGTTGATTGTCATTTATGTCCTCACGACCACTTTGAAAACGTTGAAACTACTCGTGCACTCCGCTACGGAATAGGCAATCATCGCCATAGACTAGTTTCATCAATTGAAACGTTTCGGTAAAATTTTTACCAATTTTAAAACAAAATTTAATGTTGGCTCTTTTTTTGAAGCTCATTTTCGCACCGATAATACAAACATACTGACACTTAAAATGAAATGTCATGAAATTCTCACTGGAAAATCGCTACATATAAGAAATTCTGATGCACCAGTCGACATATAGATGGCGCCACCAGGGGCGCAAGATTCAAAAAGTCCTGTTTACTTTGAAATCCACTTTGTAGATAAGTAAATATTCCACTTTCTGACGGTCAGAGCTTCTAAAACTGGTATTACCGATCACCGAACACTGCGATACCGTACCATTACCAGTAGCCTGATTATTAATGTATGTATGTATAATACATATTTAAATTATACATCCGAGAAACTTTTAAATCTCATCGCGTGCCTTCGCCCGAGTTTTTCTACTATTTCTATAAATATATATATATAAGTATGCTAGGTCTCTATAGATAACCTTTAACTTTTCAAGGTCCCTAATCTTGAAGCCAGTCTGTATGATTTCCTCATAAAAGTTGTGTTTTTCTTAAAACACGTTTTTCTATGATATGTAAATTCAGTAACTAGGAGTTTCTCAATAAATTTTTTTTCTAACAATTCATATGTGTTATAAAACTAGACATTGCGTTTTTCTAAATAGAGAACTTCAAAAGCTGAAATTTTGGCTCTCTTGGTCCAACGTAGCGGGTGTAAAAAGTTGTAAAATAAAATTGGTTTTGTTTTGTATGTCTACCGCAAGTATACTGTCGTATATTTAAGGTTTTTGGCCCAGAATTAGGATTCCATAAATATTCCATAAAACTGTTGAGAATTTCAAGTTACTTAAAATAATGAAGGAAATCGATGAGGCTCTCCCACAAGTTCCGCTCTTTTCAACAACTTGCAATATTTATATACAATAACAAAACAAAAGCAATTGCAGTAGAATGCGCTGTTAGAGTGTGTGTGTGTATGTATGTCTGTAATTGCATTTCTCAATTAAATTGCCGCATAGTTGCCACATTCATGACCTCCCTCACGGCGTCAATGAGTGCGCGAACGTGCTGTTAGCGAAAGCAAATAATATAAATGCGAATAGTTTGGCGCGAGCGTTGGCTTTGCATAAATATGAAAACACATATACATATGTATAAGTATATAAGTATAAGTATATAAGCATATAAGTATGTGCAATTTTGTATATTTATGCTTTTAAGTATCCATATCCATAAGTACGTTTGCATGTGTTTGGTATAAACACAGCGTTTTGCTGCAACAGTGCGACATGACGTCGTGCTTCTTGTTGTGCTTGTACTGGTTGCATTGCTGTTATTGTTTTCACAGCTTTTACATTTAATTAAGATGGCTGCGACGTCAGAACCTTAGTGACGACTGCTTGCTGTTGCAGACAAAAGTCGGCGAGCGTTTGACGGCTGCACGCTAACAATGTGACGGCGACGCATGTTGTCACCGATCGGCGCAATTGTTGTTGATATTTTTTTTTATTATATTCTTGTTTTTGATATTTTTAACGGTCTCTAGATAGCCCGTGGTAGGCTTTACTCAGCTACTATTTAGTTTTTAGTTGGCAATTCGTTCTTTCCTATTATTTTCACTAGTAAATTTTCATATTTATTTGTTTTTTTTTTGTCATACAAATATGTATGTACATATGTATAGTATGTGCCCATGCGAGTTCATACCTAACGCTTTTGATTTGTTTTAGCTTCATTTATTCGGCTGTACTCAGCAAGCGTAGCAGTTGACTTTGCTATTTGCTGTTGTCATTGCATTGTTGTTGTTGCTGTTGTTCAATATTTTATAGTATAGCTGTTGGTGTTGTCATAGTGTCGCTGTTGCAGACAAGGAAGTAACGTAAAATGTTAATTTGCAGAGACTTGCCTGTGTGTGTGTGTGAATTTGAGTATGCGTGTATATATTGTATAAATATGTATGTATGTATGTGAGTGTCTAAGCAATAGACGAAAAAACTTTACTCCAAACGAGTTCCATATCATGAACTATTTAACAATTTTTTACGGTAACTCTTAAAACACCAGAGAACTAGTTTCAAACTAGTTATTTGTGGACTAAAAACAAACTTTGAAACATCCTACATTTGAAAATACTGAAATATCGGACTTATGGACAAAATATTTAATATTTAAAAATTTGTCGTGTTAAGCAACCGAAATATCGTTCGGTACTTTAAATCAGTATGCAAATAGTTACAAACTTGTTATTTATAATCCAAATATGATTGAGTTAAATTAGTGACCAAAATCCTCCTCTTTGTTGAGAATAAATCGCGTATTTTAACGCTCTTAAAATACTCTTTCCTTATTCATTTTGCTAAACTGACAGAATTTTGACAAACAGTATACTTGCTAATAGTTGCGCACTAGTTATAATCGGTCTAGTTCAAAGTTAATTTTTTTTTCAAAAAAAATAAAATATATTTTACTCACTACGACAGAATTAAAAAATAATTAAAAATTGTAACTAGTTACGTATTAGTTACGTACTAGTTACAATCGGAGCAGTTAAAATGAAATGATTCATACGAAAAATTCGCACTTCCTCTTTGTTTAAACGTATTTTTAAATGTACTGTCATAAAAACAAAAACATACATATACACAAGCTCATCACAACAACAAGTTAAATAGCTTGTAGTAATAACAAAAGATTGCTTTGCACTGCCCAGCAAAATATTATAAATATTTATATGACAATTTGTAGACTCATCTGACACATCCATTTGTTTGTAGTTATGTTTATGCTGCCGCCTTTAATATGTATGTGTGTTTGCAAGTATATCTCATAATCCGTTTGCCAGTTGGCGTCTTTGTGTTTTGCAAATTTACTGCAAAATTTTTGCGGTTCACACTTTTGCGCGTCGTTCATTCATATTGCTATTGTTGTTGTTGCAGCAAATGCAATTTTTTCTAGGACGTGATTGTTATGTATTGCTTTTGTTTCATCTTTATTTTCATTTTTCGAAATCAATGACAAAATAATTTTATATTTCATTCAGTTGCGGCAGGTCACCTCGTGCGGACTGTGATTGCGTCGAAATAAAATTTCCTATGCAAGAGTAAAAATATTTACAGTGTGTTGCTTGGGTTTTATAGAAGATTTCACTAATCAACCCCTTTGGGAGACTTGACTAACATCGGCGAGTTTTCAGAACTCTTTGAGGAGAAAAATTTCCCAGCGAGTTCATTATTTTTATTGGTCTTTTGCAAATTTTTTCATGGCACGAATATGAAGGTAGCAGTTATATACAAATCTTCTATGGAAAATTTTTGTATCTTGAAATCACAGGAGATACTTGTGCTAAAACTTTTAAGTGCTCAAATCTCTCACTACATACGTATAATAGTCTGATATCATTTCTAAGCAATTTGGCTGAAGGGCAGACTTTACTTTACGGAAATACTAGAATAATGTTGGAATCGGAAAGATAACTATTCCAAGACTTTCAAGGCCTTGGATCTACTAATAAATATAGCAGTTTGTGGTAATTTCTAACCAATTTCACTCAAGGGAAGATAATTTATTTTAGGGAAGCACAAGAATTATGTTGCAATCGGAAAGTCAACTCTTAAAAAATCTAGAAAGCATTATTTCGTTTCATATAATGGTTTCATATGATTTCTAAGTTAATACACTTGAGAAAAGTTATTAATTTTAAGGAAATATGAGCATTATCACGAAATCCGGTGAGGTAACTGACCCAAAATATCGAAGGTTTCATATCTTTCTGCACATATAATATTTTGATCTGATTTCAAAGCAGTTATACGCGAGGAAAGATGATCTTTTTTAGGGAAGTGCTAGATTTGTGGTGGAATCGGGAAGGTAATTGACTTAAAATCATTAAGGCCTCAGGTATCTAACTACATTTAATATTTTGACGTTGTTTCCAAGTTATTATACTCGACCGGAGAAGATTTATACAGAAGCTTTTTATATTATTATCAATAAAAATAACATTTGCACAGTTTTTCATTTCTTCTAAACATACCAGAGCTTTCTTTAACTTAATCTGATGAAAATCAAATCTTATAGAGTATAAAAATGCATTATACAGTTACTTTTACACTCACAAGGGTCTAAGTGGTCACTTCACTTGCTGCTTATAGCAGTACTTTACTG